AAAAATCTGGAAAAGGAAAGAGAAGTTTAGTCTAGCTTTTCCAAATCCGAGATCAAAGTCCATGTTTTTAACAAAGGTCGGGGGTTTTTGTTCGAGCCTGTAAACAGTTCTTGATTGGAATATGTTTGTGCTAACCAAACCTCTGTTTGAGTTATTACGTCGAGGTTACCAAAACCAATACAGAAATAGATAAAAAATAACGACTTGTAAGCGACCAGTAACATAACTTTGTGGCCAATCAGAGCAACACAGTTTGCCGTAAGCGTACAACTGGCAGCCTCAAAACGGGTAAAAATCATCTTTCGGTAGCGATTGTTGTTGTTTTCGTCANAGGAAGCATCCACTTACATTGACTTTCTGTCGCATGCGTCTTTCTAAACGAAACCTAGACAGAACGACGGGAATAGGGAAAGAAAACTGAAACGTAAACAGTCACACATTCATGTTATGCAACGCGGCGCAGAGGTATTTTAATTATTTTGATGTATAGTTCAGTAAATCTAAAGAAATGTAGCGAACTGAATTATATCGCATGGAAAGTGAGCGCTACTAAAAGAGTAAGAATCATGTATTACTACCTTTAATTTTTATCGGGGTGATTAGCCATTATTTAATCTTAGTTTTGTTTCGTTCATTATCAGATATTTGAGAGTAGTCAGTTACGAGTTTTTAGACAGCTTACAAGGGAGAGATAAGATGAAAAGCTCGCACAAAACAAAATTCACCCAACTCCAAGAAGCATGCTGTTTCGTTTTGTAAGATTCTCGACCTTACTGCGCCCAAAACGTACATGTGAATATGACTAAAACAGTACAGAAAAATGCTACCAAAAAAAGTAAAAAAAACTACAAAATAGATCAAAAAACGAAAGAAAAAGGTTTTATTTTTAGATTCTCAATCTGGCTGGCTACTAAACTTACGTGTGAATAGGACTAAAATAGTACATAAAAAAACAACAACAACAACCAAAAAAGCAAAGAAAAAAATACAAAATAGACCAAAAAACGAAAATAGAAACGAAACAAAACAAAAACAAAAACAAAAAGAATAAAAATCAAAAGAAAAAAACAAAACAAAAACAAAGCAAACAAAAGGTATATCGTATACTGTATTTTGTACCTTTTGCTAGAAGTATACAATGTGGTGATGTTACCGGAAAGTGCATGAGACTGGGGCATTTAAGCTGTGCCTGTCAAAAAGTCGTTAACTAGTGTTCCAACATTTGCAGTATGTCATACCGAGTTAGCAGTTCTATTAAAGGTGTTGAATTATTGTAACCGGGTTCTTCAATCCGACAAATGAATACCATTCTTTCGATGGATTACGATTAGGTAACAGATTCCGAACAGATAATAACTGTTGTATTAACATACATTGCTGGCCAACTAGTCCGTTTCCCTAGGCAAAATAGAAATGCTATGCATAATAATAGCCGAGTTTTTTTTAAATACCAGGCTATCATTGATCTTGCTTGGTAAAACAATAAAAGCAACGTAGTACAGAGTTGAAAGTACAGATGAACCTCGCCTTACTGTCAGCTCGTTATTACGGACACTTTTTTTGTCTCGGCGAAACGCCCATGGATTTTCTCAGTAGTTATAAGAAAAGCCCGTTAATGCAGCCACCCCGTTAATACGGCCAACGACCACATTCTGAAAAGTCCTTTTTAATTTTACCCCGTTTATACGACCACTCAAACTAGTTTGTTCATCTTTCCTTCGTTAATATTTCATACATTGATTCAAGTCTCAATCTGTTTAAAATGATATCTGCATTCCGGATGTTTACTGAAGATCAGTTGTTTAGAAGTGCAATTTCGATATATCTGTTACGACGTCACTCAAGTTATATCAGTCGTGAGGCTTCTCCCTACCCCGTTACTAAGGCCAAATTTTCTTAGCCTGTTGGGGACCGCATCAACGGGGTTCCACTGTAGATAAGAATAGTCAAGTCAAGTTTTCTTTTAAACTTTAATTTATATATTAATGGATCCGGGAACAAGGCATATATTGGAATTTATTTTTCACCGTTTCAGTGGCTTGACGCTGGATTTTTTACATATTTTTACTCTCTCTTTTTCTATATATTCCTGTAAACTAAGGCCCTCTGGAGCGCACCAAGTCATTCTCTTGTAAGATAAAATTCGCGGTGAATAGGAATAGGCATGTAGAGTAGTGGAAGTTGCGAAACACGAACATAACCCTCGCCTTTGCTCCGTGGGTCAAAAGTTATCACTTTCCCTAGAATTGTAACTGTTTGCAGCTGTTGCTGTCTTTAACCCGACGTTTAGCTAAGGAAATCGTATTTTTGTTAGAATGGTGATTGTGTAACCGCCTTTCAATTTGGTGCTTGTACTGTAATGGAGATGCACGGCGACCACCTGGTAAGGTCAATTGTACCGTATAAAGATTAGGGCGTCCTTAAAGAAAGAAAGAAAAATAACAAAAAGCAACAACAACTTCAAAACGCCGAGAAACGTTTATTTGTTGTATAAGTTTTCAGGCAAATCGATCGGACAGAGCACAAAAAGAATTAAAAAAAGGTAGGGGGCGGGTTGGACCAGCTTTATGAAATCCAAACATGTCTCTAAAATTAATGCGTATGTAACCTCGTCGCTAGAAGTTGGAAATAGTAGTCTGACAGTCCAAATTGCTATTTGTAATAGTTGTTAGGATAAGCCGTGTGTTTCAACAAAAGGTTACGCAGGGTACTGTTGCTTGCTGTTAGTAATGCTCCGAGTAGATATTAAAGTTAAAATAAAAATAAAAAATAAAAAAAGTTGAAATTGTTGAATGTTTATAGTGGTTGATGCGCTTAACTACCACTAGCTGTAAGTAACTAACTTGAAGGAGATCCTTAAGCCTTCTGTTTGCCGATCTCTCCGTGTTGTCATGGCGATGGACTCTACAACTCAGAAAGGCCACTTTCCGTACCCCGAACTCTGTGATTAGGGAAGGAGAAAGCTTGATCTAACAGCAATCGCCGGTGACTAATCTTTTCACTGATTTGGTCGCGTCGAATTAAATTTTCTTGAAAATTGCACCAGAACATGAATTTCGCCGGTGTGTTGCCGATTGTTTATAGGCCGAAAACAACCAATCTTGTACAATCGATGAAGAAAATTTAACTGCCTTGGTGAATTTGGAAATGGTGACGTTTCAAGTATAAGGCCTTCCATGGCACAAGATGGAGGATTGTGACGTAGGTTGTATGTCTTGCATGGAATAAATTTCTACCCCGAGTGTCGTTGTTCATGACATGGTAATAAGCAAGAAATTATCTTGATAATCTCTTGTTATGGGGAAGGGAAAGCCTAAGACCAGGCGAAAATAGAAACGGACAGGATAGAGTCCGCCTTACACGTTGGTTGGGAGAGTGTGTCGCAAACCTCTACGCTTTCGCTGCCTCGAGTAGAGTGATGGGTGGAACTCGTGTAAGGCCGCGTCCACACGGACAACGCCGGCGAAATTTGAGAACGCAACAATCACCAGTCATTTTGGATTTGTGTTCGAGGAAAATTCGGCCGGGGAAATCACATGATTATCGCGATTTTGCGCGGGCAAAGTAATGGGGAATGTATGAATAAGTCAATCAATTGAACAAGAAGTGCTTATTGATCTCGTGGGGGCCAAGCTTCCCAGTTCAACGTATAGAACTTTACACTCGGTACAAAAACGCTGTACACTGGAGAGATGGGAAGGGGTTCAAACCGGGCAGGGGAACTTTTGAGATCATCCACAACTTTGAACGCTTGCAGCTTTGAGAACGTTGAGGCAATGAGCCTTGAATGTGGTGACTTCCCCCAAATTTGACCTGTGGAACTAACTTGGTAGGACACATCATTGTTCAAGGAACGCAATGTTTCCATGGCAGCCGCATTTTGACAGGAATGTTCTCCTCTGTTTTGGATGAAAACGTTTTTTACTGACAATTTCTGAGCCAGTTTTGGTGGCTGACGTTTTGCAAAAAAAAACAACAGCAGCAACAAACAAACAAAAAAGTGAAACCCCTGATGGCAGATCCAAATTGAGGGCTCTTCGGAAATAATGACCTCATTTCCCAATTCCACGTAACATGACGTCATCATTTCATGTTATGGACTTGAAAGGAAACATTTCCGGATGTATTCCAGCTTTAAAATTCTAACAGTCAAAGATTTACAAAGTAAACGCTGTTGACAGGTGTACTAAACATACTCTTTCTGTTCAATGTTAACATTTTGAAAGAAAGTGAAAACGCGCGTAGCGGGAACAAATACGGTAAAGAAGTTTCTTCCCTCATACAATTAGCAATTAGCCAGCGCAGAACAGTTATCCGTCACTTTGCATGCACTTTATAAGCAGGATCCACCGCAAGATATCCAAAGGCAGGAAGAAGGGTTTTAACAGTCTGTTGCTTTGACACCCTGCAGTTCACTGCTTGAAATTTTTTCCTTCTAAAACGGAATAAATATCTTCTAAACTGAGTCGAACACATTCTAAAAAGCCTCGTACATCTGTATCGGGCGGGTAGCTTGTCACGTTACATCCAAGCCAATCATCTTGGATCCCGTATCCCACTCCAAACCCGTCCCGCACCACGGGACCAAATCCCCCAAGCATCAGTGCGGGACTTGACAGTGTGCTGGTCGACAGAATGATGTGATTGATTTGTTTATAAGCTGGATCTTGAAAGATATCCGGGACTTTACCAATGGACTCCGCCATAAGACGCAGTGCGAAGAGATGACGATCGAAACCTTGACCTACAAGATAAGAAAGTACAGACAAATTGAAGAGAAAATTAAATACCAATCTTGACTTTTATTTATTTATCTTTTTTATTTTATTTATTAAAGGGTTACGATTTTTAGTTTTGATCAAAAGACCGGTGAAAACCAGTAATAGCGTGACATGATTGATGAAGAAGAAAGGAAGGACCGTGACATGTAAAAGAGCAAGAGCGTGACATTATTTCCTAAGATACACTTACCCATGGCGGCCTCTTTGGTGAGTTTTGAATGCCATTCAGCTGCTCTTCGTATTCTGTCCGCCATCTCCTCCACTCCCGCGCGGTGCGACTTTTGAAAAGCTTCTGCGCATGCTACAGTGGCGTTGGACGCTGGTCTGATCGTCTCTGTTCGCCCGTGTTTAAAAGCCGATGTGCTGCAAGACTCGTACGTTGGGACAAACTTGCCGTTTTGACGGAAGTAAGCCATCTAGCAAGATAAATACCAACTAAATGTTAAAGAAAAGATCAATGTCCACCACCCTCGAGCTTCCTGCAATATATGTTTTCTCTTTATTATTCCCCTGCCCACGTCGCATCCCCTCTCAAAGCACCGCGTTGCAAAATAAGTTAACGATGGAACGATACTAATAATAGATAACACCTATTTTCCTCGTGATGTTTCATACTCACTAAACCACACGCTTATTGTAGAGAACTAATTTAACTTTTTTCTTCCACTGTAAACTCCTCGAGTCTCCAGCTCGAGAAACAACCGGTAAACAAACAAACAAACAGACTTTCATCAACATTCTTTATGACACGATTAAGAAACCTGATAGTACCAACAACTTAAAAAAAAAAAACCCGCACCAATTATAAGGTTTTATTGCCCAAGCAATGGACTGGGTGAAGTTCCTACGGCTATTTTTCAGTAATCAAGTCATGTAATAACTATATTATTGCCCAAGCATTGGACCGGGTGAAGTTCCCACAGATATTTTTCAGTCAAGTCATGCAATAACTGTATTATTGACCAAGCATTGGACCGCGTGAAGTTCCTACAGCTATTTTTCAGTCAAGTCATGTAATAACTGTATTATTGACCAAGCATTGGACCGCGTGAAGTTCCTACAGCTATTTTTCAGTCATCAAGTCATGCAATAACTGTATTATTGACCAAGCATTGGACCGCGTGTAGTTCCTACAGCTATTTTTCAGTCATCAAGTCATGAAATAACTGTATTATTGACCAAGCATTGGACCGGGTGAAGTTCCCACAGGTATTTTTCAGTCATCAAGTCATGTAATAACTGTATTATTGACCATGCTTCCTGGGGACCGTACTGTAAGATAACTGCCCGTCTTTTCAGTACATACTTCAAGGCAGCTGTTGTTTACTATCAAGACAATGGAAAGATATCATCCAGTGCGGCCCTCGAGCTTGTAAATAAACCTTCAAAAACTTCAGCTGCTGTTCATGTCTGGCAATGCCACGGAAATGGAAATCTTCTCACCTGAAACGCCAGCTGCATAACTGCATCTGGACTTAAATTCTTGCTTTTGATGTAGTCTTTGCCATACGTGTCAACTTGAAGTTCGGCGATGTCTAATCCCTTCACCGTATTGTCAAACTTTTCCTTAGCGGCGTAGATCCCTCTCTCTATTTCTGAGTTCAACTGTAAATCAAGTTTCCTGACGGTCGCCT